CTGTCATGAATCGGTGTCTTATGGCAGTGTGCTGTCAGGTTGAGGGATGTACTGGTGCATTGTTTCTTTCGGTTTCAGCTCACAGAGACAGAGATGTGGGCGTTTAGGGTTAACGAATGAATCCTGAAGTCTGCTACTCTAGGAAGAGCTGATGTGCACATCTTGTTCAGTAATCTACTGCGAAATAAAAAGCCACGAGATGCTGCCAGGGTCCAAAATTAACGTAACAACTGCGAATTCAGCCTCAGTCAATTTTTTAAAAATAATATATAATATTTTAATAAAAATTATATAATTTTAATAAAAATGTTAATGAAATAAAAGTTAATTAATCAAATAAATATATATAAAATTTAATATAAATTGTGTAATTATTTCTCATTCTTTTCATTATTTCTTCCAAAAAAAAAAATTTAGTTGTCATTAACTTTTTGCAGTTACTAAGAATATACATAAAAAAAATGTATATATGCATTAAACTGCAATGTGCGCACAATATATATTAAAAAAAATTATGGTTTATAAATAATAACTAATTTCTACAAGTTATACTAATAATTTATATGAAATTATAATTTTAAAACTAAAAATTTATCAAATTTCAAAAAATATAAAATTGGAAAAATATAAAATAAAATTGTGTATATATATATATATATATATATCAATGCAATTAAATATATATACACACATGCGCGCGCGCACACACACACAAAAACATAAAATGTATAAAAAAATTATAACATTTCTAATATATATATAAAAATAATATATATATAATAACTGCAAAAAGTTACAGACCAACTACATTTTGTTCCCTACAGCCAATATGTTCTCATACTTTGTTTCTCATACTTGTAGTATTTAGGACCCTGGCTGCTGTAACATTCAGTTCTGTCAGTAGTGAAGGTGGCCCACATGAGGCCCTCGACACACACCTCCACAACTCCTGCCTAACTTCCTGATCACACGTCATAACTCGGCCTCCTCTGTCCTGCTTCAGAGTGCACGAGTCTGCTCTGCAGATAAGAGCTCTTGACGAGGGTCTGCTGGAGCTCTGATTGTTTCGGCCCACTTCACTCTCTTGGCTCCTGGCATCGGTCACCTCCACCTCCACGGCCCCTGCTGACGGCCATTCCTCTACCGCTCATTTCTCGCAGCTGTTTTCACTGCTTTCAGATCACGAAACGACAATGAAACACAAGACTTTTCCTTTCCCGGCAACTTTTCTTTCGTGCTTTTGTTTTTGTCTGCTAAAAAGCCTTAAGCAACAATGTCCTTATCACCAGCTTTTATCAACACATTTTCAATGGCAAATACATTTCTTTGAATGAAAGGCTCCATGTGGGGATATGCAAAGCACCAGCCGCTCGAACGACACATTTGATGGCGAAAGGGGGAACTGAAAAAGATGTAGAGAGATCTTCACAGTCAGTCATTAGTAAGGATGTGCATATTTTCAGCTAGTTGAAAATGAAATATGCTTAGTAATGGGAAAACACCTCATGTTTATATAATTTCAAATGAGCCACTCTGTCTGTCTCCAGCACAGAGGCACTTGACTTAAAGCCACCCAGCATGAGAGTCACTCAGAGCAGAGCTTTACTGTAAGCCCTGAGAGCTGTTTTCTCATCTGCTGCTTGATAAGATGCAGCCGCTGGAGGGAAGGAGGAGATGGAGTATCTGTGTGTGCTGGACGGGGTTTTATCAGAGATCAGACTCAACTCCCACTGCATGCGTCTGCCGGCTGACTAGATCGTGTCTTCTGATGCTTTGGATTGATGTGCACTAAGATAAACAGCCAAAAATTTTTAAAAGTTCAGGCAACAGCTTTATCTTCATACTTGACCTGCTACGAGCCTCATCTTTCTGCCGGATTCTGCTGCTGCTTCACAAGAGTGGTTAAACTACAGTTAGACTATCCTATAAAAATAGTTACAATCCAAACAAAATAATACTAGAATTGGGTATCAGCAACTACATAATGATTGCATAATTAGAAATCGTGTGCTACCTACAAGCCGGAGTGAAACTGCCCTCTGATCTTTCTATGAAGGACTGCGGTTGTTCATGATCCTCATTCACAGATCTCACAGATCCTAAAAATGAGCAAGAGCACTTGAGCTAAAAAAAATACATTTCTGCTTCCTTCATTTATTTGGTCCATCTCTCATATCGCACAAATTCAATTGAGGACATTCCCACGGTACTCTGAGATCCAGACACCATGGGACAGGGCCGATCTACGACCCCCTCATGATTAATTGCCCATAAAGCACTGCGCTCCACCTGTTATCGGGTTATCTGGAAGGTCTTGGTGTTTTTTTCCCATCCCTGCCTCCAGTAAAACAGCTAATCAGCTCTCACGGACTGTAAAGCGCCATGCATCACTGAAATGAGAGCTTTAAGTGAAGGAAACAGTGCATGTGTTACTCTTTCACTCACCCTTGTTGTAAGATCTTGTTGATTCTAAGAACAACAGGTATACGGTGCCAAAACACGTCAGCGAATCGATATCAGTGCCCGAACATAACAAAACATTTCTTTCATGCCCTTCTGAACCTTATGTGATCTTCCTTCCAAGTACTAACATTTCAGACACATTTTTTTTGCTTTTGTGTCGAGAAAAAGTTTAATTAAATAGGACAAAATGCAGTCGGACCAAACAGCGCACACGTAATAAGCCGAGGATTAGTTTATTTTTTTGTTTTATTAATATTTTAATTCATTTTTGTTGTAATATTTTGTTTTCATTTAATTTTGGTTACAGTTTGAGTCATTCTATTGTCTGTTTTTGCTCTTTTTTTATTAGTTTTAGTTTTTTTTTATGTCCATATATTTGTTTCATTCATTTTTATTCCAGTTTTAGTTTAAGTTATTTTAGTACATTAAGTTAAACTAAATTAAAGTAAGAAATGTTGCCTTGGCACATAGCTGACATAAATTAAGTTTAAGTTTTTTTAAAATATTTTATTCTATTTAAAAAAAATATTTATTTATAGCAACAAAACCATTTGTACGGTTTTAGTTAACTGCAATGACCCTGAAACTATTTAAAACAACTTAAAAATATATGTATTTAAATATTAGGACGTATTAAAGGTGAAATATTGTAATAATATAATAAATATTTTTAAAATATTTAAAACTATAAAAATTAAATGCAAAGCCCATAACAAAATGACTAAAACATAAAATGAAAACTGAAAAAAAGTGAATTGCTTGTGAATAATACTAAAATAACACTGCAAATAGTCACTGTCATTAATGTCACATCAAAGAGCCCACTCTCATTGAAAATGCATGATTTCCAGTCGCTTTCAGCAAGAATGCACCTTGCAATATAATTAAAAATATCCAGACATTATTGAAAAGATCTTTAGAAACTTGCAATGACCTCACAAGACTACTAGCAACTTTCTTTCAGCCAACACAGAATAAAATACGCCTAAAAAAGCTAACTTGATTCTGAGATATTTCCTATTGTAAATAACTGCAGAACAACACAGGGATCAGCAGCCGGGCAATGAGAGTGATGCTTCAATAATGCAGCAGGAGGGAACATAATAATCCTACTATCTCTGTACTATTCAATAAAACCGAGTGAGGGAACTTCACCTCAGCATGAACTTCTAATATAAAACCCCCCACACTGTCCAAGAGAGAAACAGAAGAAGGAAAATCATGAGGGAGAATGAAACATCTCCACCCCTCCTTTCAAGGCCTGCTGCGACTGATCTCACAGCAGATGATAAACCGTTTCCCCAGCTCACTTCAGTCTCCCAGATTCATAGCCCTTTATCTTTCTTGTTCTCGCTCTCCTCCCCGACTCTCACGTTCCTCCCCAAAGGTGTCTGAGCTCATCTGATGAGCTCTGTGTCTGGTGTTCAAGGTCAAACCCTTTGTAAAATTTGAGACGGCCTTGGCGCGTACCAGTGCATCTCTGGATCTCAATATGAAACTAATGATTATAAAATGACTGAATGTTTGTAGAAAGACACAAAGTGTACAAATCACTCCCAAAAAGACTCTCTAAGGCCACTATGTGCAACAATGATTCCGTATGTGTGTTGTAAACAATGATGGAACTAAATGTCCAGCAAACAGCTGCAATTAGAGATGCACTAATTAAAATATTATACTATTTTGTTTAAAATAAATTCAAAATTAAACACTAAAAACTACAGTCAATTGTAGTGTTGGATCCGAGTCCACCCTGTCGAGTCTGAGTCGAGTCCTTGTTTTTAACCAGTCGAGTTTAAGTGGGAGACATTTATTAGTCTTTTTAACTTAGTTATGTTGTTACTTTTTTTTTTAGCTTTTTTGTTACACATGACATGGATTCGTCTGTACTCTGAAAAATTTCTGCATTCCAAATGTCCTAGTCCAAGCTAATTCACAATTCCAGTCTGAGTCCAAGTCCTGAGTCCAAGTACCACAATTCGAATCAACTGTTTTAAATGCTACATGTTAATTTAAGCATCATAACATTATGGAAAATGGCGTATCATTTCAAAATCTGCTAAAGATTTCATAAAATAGCATTATCAAATTATAAAATGCTGTCAACGGTGCTGGCAAAGGTCAACATCACTTTTAAGTCCAGTATAAGGTTCCAGCAGGCCTGTACGTCACTACCACTGCCTATTGTTTGAGTACAACTATGTCAAGAGACCTCGCCTTTGATCACCCGTTGAAAGCACTTGGTCTAAAGCAAGCCTTTTATTCAGCCACATAAAAAGGCTGACCTCATTGACTCAAGCAGAGAAATAAACACCATGGCATGTATTGCAGTATGCCCTGAAAGGGGACAAAAACAAACAAAAGAGTAACTTTATCAAGTTTATCAATTTACTTTAAAGCTTGAATCATTGATTCATGCCATTTCTAAACTTTGTCAAAGTTCAAGACAGGTGTATGTTTAAACATGTTTTAAAGTAAAAAATACAATGTGAAGTTGATTGTGCAAATGTTTACTTGGTTTTCTTGTTGCATTGCAGGCTTTTAGGGGTGATTGTCGGCAGCAACATGAAGCTCTTCCTCCCTCTACTGCTGCCCCTCCTCTTCTATCAACACTTGTGGTCCCCGGCATTGGCCGACACCTGTCCGAAGGACTGTACCTGCCAAGTCCAAGACTCCATTTTCTGCTTTAGCCGCAAAGACACTAAAATCCCCAACGAAGTACCCACAACGACTAAGAATCTCTATGTGTTCAAGAACGGCATTGAGTCACTTTCCCAAGAGGATTTTCTTGAGTTGGAAAGCCTGGAGATGCTGGATCTAAGCCAGAACAAGTTGACCGAACTGCCAGATCATGTGTTTGAACCCTTGTCCTCTCTCCACAACCTGGACCTGTCGGCTAACCAGATCGTCCATATATCCAAAGACAGCTTTGCTGGACTAGAACATCTGGAGAGGCTATATCTCTACAGCAACCTCATAGAGATCATCCATCCTGCTGCTTTTGATGGCCTACAGCAACTGCTGGAGCTCAAGCTGCAAGGTAACAAACTGACAATAATGCCTGCCCTGAAAATGCGCCATCTGCTTCTGCTAGACTTACGGTTCAACAGCATCCCATCGCCAGGGCCAAATGACCTCCAGACACCCAAGTTGGAGTCACTGAAACTAGGTGGGCTGGGGCTTAGCAGTCTGAACGAGGAGCTCTTGGGAAGCTTCAAGAACCTCCATGAGCTTGACATCTCCAACAACCAGTTAACAACCTTTCCAGGGGTTTTGCGGGAGGCAAGGGACTTGGTTACTCTGAGTTTGGCTGGGAATCCCATGGGACCTGTGAAATGGGAATACTTTGAGAAACTCTCAGAGCTTCAGGAGCTGGATATCAGCAATCTAAGCTTGCAAGGGTTGCCAGAGACTTTAACCCAGCTCTTTCCTCACCTACAAAGGCTGACTGTTGCGGAAAACCCTTTCAACTGCCTTTGCAATCTGGCTTGGTTTCCAAGTTGGTTGCGAATCAAGCAAATTCAGTTGGGTAGGACGGAAGAGACACGCTGCCACTTTCCTCCTTTTAATTCCGGGAAGGTGCTGGAGAGACTTGCGCAACGAGAATTCGGATGTCCGATTACCACAACTGTTACGACTCGCACAGTAAAGACCACTGCAGTACCGCCAGCCCCGGTCACCAGTTTACCAAGTACCACTCAAGCAGTCCTTCCTGCCAAACCTAGTGATAACCCTTCTACGGAAGCTGACAATGACCCTCCACCTCCCACGCCAAGTACTAGTATCGACCCAGATCTCAGATCAAACTTCTGCCCACCCAATATCTGCCTAAATAGAGGAACATGTTGGCTGGACAACAAAGGACGTTTGGAGTGCTTTTGTCTACCAGGAACATCAGGGAGATACTGTGAAAAAGAGGAAGACCCACTACCCCATGAGGAGCCTACAGAGGTACCGGAACCTGAAATAACAGCAATGGTAACTAGCTCCTCAATACTCTTAGACCTTCAGCGGTACATCGCTATGCGCCCCCACATTCGTGGTGTAAAGTTAACTTACAAGAAACTTTCTGGACCGGATAAACGTGCCAAGCACCTCAACCTTCCAGCATATTACCTGGAATACACATTGCGTGGACTTCAGCCAAACTCTACGTACTCTGTATGTGCCAGTCCATTGGGCGAACTGGGGGATGTGGATAGAGTATGCATAGAGACCCAGACGGTCAGTCAGCAGCTAACTCCCACTGGAGCAAGACTGGAGGACCCAAAGCTCACTACAATGCTCATCCCTGCAGTCGCCATCCTACTTCTGCTAGTCCTAGTAGCCGTGGCTGTTGGGGTAGCTTGCTACATGCACAAAAAGAAATCAAAGGGACACCTGGACTTAGAATGTGATCCTTCACAGCTGGAGCTGGAGGGTCGGAACAATGGGGCGCTACCTGAAAAGCAAGAGATTATCTCCTGTCCGTCAACAACACAGAACGGTGGCTTGGACTTCGAGGTGCCCCTTATGCAGGATAACTGTACTGCGAACAACAACAAGAACAGTTTGAAACCTTCATATTTCTGATAATTGCGAAAGGTTTGTGACTTACTTGCATGCTAAAGCATGAATGATATGGCCTTACAAGCTACCATTTTGGACAGCGAGACCACCCACCAGGTTCTTTGAAAAGAGACGGTGGCATTTAGGTGATTCCTGGTGCAATCCTATAGGGGCATTTCTGTCCAAATGACATCCTCCTAAGTGCCTTTTATCGTCTGAAAAATCTGAAAGACTCTACATGCCAAACATTCAACCAAAGATTTGGGGGGATTTTAAAATGGCTGGCAATCGTAAAAAAGGACATACAGCTGACTGAAAAAAAAATGTAGGTGAAATTTTGATGTGTAGCGCCTGTGTGCAACTCTTATGAGCTGCGCTAACTGTGAACCGTAAGCCCTACAAGTGAGTGGGTAACTGAAGATATGGAAGATATGGACTTAAGTAACGAGGCTGACTCTTATGATGCTTTGTCTAACTGATACACATTGTTTCTTTGTTTTATATTTGTACCTTTTTTGTAAATGTTTTTGTACAAATATGTGACTGTTACCAGGCGGCTGCTCTTCCCCCCATATCTTGTGACTTAAAAAGCACCAGCTTATAAACTTTGAAGATTAAATTTTACTTGTACCACCAAGTGAATCAAAGGCTTTAGTTTAGAAATGTCAGACAGTCTAAGCAGTTGAAAGTCTATCCAAACATGAAACTACAGTAAATCCTTCCTCTATTTTTTAGCCCCTATCCCCTTCGTCCTCAGAAAGAGACACTAAACTACGGTTGAACAGGAGGCAGATTAATATACATTATGCTCTTTTGTAAACACAAAATAGGCCCGAAATATATCATTGGAAGCTACAAACTGGTGGGAGCTTTTAAATTATTTATTATATAGCAAAAAAGGGGTTGTTTCCTAGGCCAGTCTGCAAAATTAACCTTTGCACTATTTACATTACTTGGCGGAGATTTCCAGTCACTTGCAGTCAACACCATTTTGCTTTAAGATGTTCAAAAACATATCTAAACCAGTCTAAAAACACACACACTCCAACTCTCAGCTCTCCAGAGCTTACCATTCATGTGCAAGATATAATGAAAAAGCATAAAACAATCTAAAAACCATCCGGGCTGTCATTGATCACTCTTAACTAGCTCCTCAATACTCTTAGACCTTCAGCGGTACATCGCTATGCGCCCCCACATTCGTGGTGTAAAGTTAACTTACAAGAAACTTTCTGGACCGGATAAACGTGCCAAGCACCTCAACCTTCCAGCATATTACCTGGAATACACATTGCGTGGACTTCAGCCAAACTCTACGTACTCTGTATGTGCCAGTCCATTGGGCGAACTGGGGGATGTGGATAGAGTATGCATAGAGACCCAGACGGTCAGTCAGCAGCTAACTCCCACTGGAGCAAGACTGGAGGACCCAAAGCTCACTACAATGCTCATCCCTGCAGTCGCCATCCTACTTCTGCTAGTCCTAGTAGCCGTGGCTGTTGGGGTAGCTTGCTACATGCACAAAAAGAAATCAAAGGGACACCTGGACTTAGAATGTGATCCTTCACAGCTGGAGCTGGAGGGTCGGAACAATGGGGCGCTACCTGAAAAGCAAGAGATTATCTCCTGTCCGTCAACAACACAGAACGGTGGCTTGGACTTCGAGGTGCCCCTTATGCAGGATAACTGTACTGCGAACAACAACAAGAACAGTTTGAAACCTTCATATTTCTGATAATTGCGAAAGGTTTGTGACTTACTTGCATGCTAAAGCATGAATGATATGGCCTTACAAGCTACCATTTTGGACAGCGAGACCACCCACCAGGTTCTTTGAAAAGAGACGGTGGCATTTAGGTGATTCCTGGTGCAATCCTATAAGGGCATTTCTGTCCAAATGACATCCTCCTAAGTGCCTTTTATCGTCTGAAAAATCTGAAAGACTCTACATGCCAAACATTCAACCAAAGATTTGGGGGGATTTTAAAATGGCTGGCAATCGTAAAAAAGGACATACAGCTGACTGAAAAAAAAATGTAGGTGAAATTTTGATGTGTAGCGCCTGTGTGCAACTCTTATGAGCTGCGCTAACTGTGAACCGTAAGCCCTACAAGTGAGTGGGTAACTGAAGATATGGAAGATATGGACTTAAGTAACGAGGCTGACTCTTATGATGCTTTGTCTAACTGATACACATTGTTTCTTTGTTTTATATTTGTACCTTTTTTGTAAATGTTTTTGTACAAATATGTGACTGTTACCAGGCGGCTGCTCTTCCCCCCATATCTTGTGACTTAAAAAGCACCAGCTTATAAACTTTGAAGATTAAATTTTACTTGTACCACCAAGTGAATCAAAGGCTTTAGTTTAGAAATGTCAGACAGTCTAAGCAGTTGAAAGTCTATCCAAACATGAAACTACAGTAAATCCTTCCTCTATTTTTTAGCCCCTATCCCCTTCGTCCTCAGAAAGAGACACTAAACTACGGTTGAACAGGAAGCAGATTAATATACATTATGCTCTTTTGTAAACACAAAATAGGCCCGAAATATATAATTGGAAGCTACAAACTGGTGGGAGCTTTTAAATTATTTATTATATAGCAAAAAAGGGGTTGTTTCCTAGGCCAGTCTGCAAAATTAACCTTTGCACTATTTACATTACTTGGCGGAGATTTCCAGTCACTTGCAGTCAACACCATTTTGCTTTAAGATGTTCAAAAACATATCTAAACCAGTCTAAAAACACACACACTCCAACTCTCAGCTCTCCAGAGCTTACCATTCATGTGCAAGATATAATGAAAAAGCATAAAACAATCTAAAAACCATCCGGGCTGTCATTGATCACTCTGTTAAACTGAAGAAATTTCAGAATCTTAAAGTTTACCACAAAATGCCTAACTGAATAGAGACAGTGGGAAGCTGTGCTGATTTACCTCTGTGAGGAAATGTGTTACTATTTTAGCACTTGTTCTACAACCTGTCAAATTATGTTTCTAAAAAATAAAATAAAAACATAAAATGAAATTGTGTTTAGTGTATCTGAAACCTTCTGCTCAAAAGGAGGATTTGTAATTGAAAATATTTTCGTTGTTGTTGTTGATGGAATATCCAAACTGGAGAAAAAAAAAATCTCAGCAGTATGAAGTATTGAAAATATTTGTGAATATTTTTGATAAGATCTGCCTCTAATTTTCCCGGTTTAATTTGGGAAGCTCTTTTTTATACTTGTACAGAGATGTGTGTATATGTATGATATGTATTTTCAAAAAGCTGCAAAGAAAATTTTAAAAATGAATGAAAATAAACTACAGTTTTATATTCTCTGTTTCTCGTTCAAGCTAGCTGGTCTGATTAACAATTAGGCTCACTGACGTTGAATGCATGTCTCTGTTTAATGTGTTTTTGGTAATACGATTTAATAGCAGAAAAATAGTGTTTTTTTCCCTTTCCAGGGGAGTTTGCACACTGAGAGAGAGCGCTAGCATCCTCAACACCACCTGCAAACGCACCACCCAAAGCAAACTTTTATGAGGAATTTTTGAGTGCCAGGGAAAGGTAATAGATTTTCCTTTTATGGAGAAAGCTTGATGTAAACAGGAATTTTTATTAAAAACAAACGATCGCCAAATCTAATAGGTGCCGTTTGGCCTCCATCTACGTCACTGGACTGACGATAATGAGCATTGTTTGTTAATACACACATCCTTTAGACTGACCACCCACCTGTTTAACAGGTACATGTGGACGGGTTTCCCACAAATGCTCACACCGCCTCCAAAGTCTGCTTATCAAGCATCCAGCAGCAATCTGTTGTATATTAAGCCCGTTTAACAGCACAAACACATAAAACAGCCCACCGCTGTCCAGCATTTCCATTTGTATTGCGCGCAATCATGTCAAACTATTAAAAACAACAAAAACGCATGGTCTTGCCTGTTAACTCTAACTGAGAGAACAACAGCCAAGGCATCAGATGGAGGCAAATTTGGCCAGAAAGCGTACAAGCGCACGTCAGTCACAGGATGTGTGTGTGTGCAGCTGAACGTGTGTGTGTCTGCTTTCCAGCTTTTCAATAAAAGGCCTCCTTTATTCTGTGATTTTAAGAGAGCTGGACCTCTGGCCACGCTCCAAACTGAGCGGCTCAAAGGGCCTATTATAGACACCCGAGCTGACTTTTTCAAATTATCTTCCAAAAATTCCACAGAAAATGACTGCTGAGTAAATATTGTTCTGCTCCTTGTTTTTAAGTTGGGCTGCAGAGGTTTTGTTTCTAAAACTCAGTTGTAGGGTGATGATGCCAGGGCTTAGCACAGAGTCACGTGTCTTCGACGAAGAGGTTCCCCTTCACATTTTTGTCCTGGTTTATGCCTCATTCGTGCCATAAATACCCTACTGTTACACCAAACCTACAGGTAAAAACATGAGTATGAGCCTCAGTCAGGTAGACGGCAGGTTTAATGATAAAGAGGCTGTGAGGGATCGATTTACAGTCTAAGGATGCACTGGTATTCAAATTCTGGCCGATAGCAATAAGGCTATACTTATTTTTTTGTCCAGTAACCACAAAAATTCTATATATATTACTTCAAAGAAAATAAAAAAAACACTAAAAACTAAAAGAAAAGCTTGTACGCTACTAAAGAATTTAGACATCTTGACAATATAATGTGCAATAGGACAGATAAATATAGCTTTTAAAATTTACTTTAAGAAATTATGAAAAATAAGTCTAGTAAAGGGAAGATCTAACCAGCTAACCCTCTAACCTTTTGGTGATGCTGCAGTAAATTGTAAAATAGGCAGAAAAATTCAATATTTAATATCAGTTAATGATACGAAAAATTTTTTAACAAAACCAACGTAATCTTAATATATTATGCACACTTATTGATAAATAACTGGAACCAGGGAGTGTTATTTTAGTATTTATACACACACACACACACACACATATATATATATATATATATATTACTATTTTGAATTAGTACATTTGTGATGTACTGTTTTTATTATTTTATCTTTTAATATTTCTGTTTTGCTTTTTTATTTCAGCTTTACTTTTTTTAATTTTAGTACTTCAAATTCTACTTATTTTATTTCAACTATTGCCATTAGTTTTAGTTTTTTTTTGGGGGGGGGTAAATATTTATATTTAGCTTCATTTTATTTCAGCTTTAGTTATATTAATTGTAGTACATCAAATTAAACTTATTTTATTTCAGTTAGTTGCATAGGAAGTTTTTTTTCTTAGTTTCTTAGTTTCAGTATTTCATCTAATATTTTCATTTTATTTTAGCTTTTCAATATTATTCGAAGAAAATGTACTCACAATACTAAGCAAAAATAAAGCAACGTGAATGCTTTGACACAAAACAATCAATGAACAATTAACCTCACACACCTGCAGGTAATAGATGGCTGCATAGGAAAACATCCCAAACCAAGGCCAAATACAAAAAACTCGACAGTCCCACACACTATCGATACTTGCACATATATTTTATTAACATTATTTTATCAACAATTGCAATATGATACGAGTAAAAAATGTGTTTTGAGAAAATAATATTATGACGTGTTTCGTCATTGCTTGTAATTGGTAATTATGTATCATTGCACTGATCGGTCATGTGTTGTTTTTAAATGAGTCTGTGCCTGAATATTTTATGTTTACCTGATGAAGGTCATGGGACCGAAATGTTGTTAATAAAATATATGTGTGTAAGTATCGATAGTGTGCGGGACTGTCGAGTTTTTTTGTATTTGATACAAAACAGAAACCATCTGACAGAACAGATACCACTCATTTTAATGCAAAATAAGGTTTTATAAGAATGTATCATGTTTTAATGACTATATGTACTAGATTGTAATTTTGCATAAAACGGAAAAAACTACCAACAACACGTACACCATTGCAAAATGTCACATTCACTGCTAACAGGCTTGGGTTTGGAATTAAAGAAAGGGAAAGCAACAATCAATCACTGCCTATTCTGTTCATTGCTGCCTGAGGTTTTTGTTTGATATGAGCGATACAGTAGCGGGAAAACAGAGAGACAATATCTCACCCCATCACACGACTGGCCACGGTGAGTTTTGGATATAACAAGCTGTTTTGGATAT